GACACCACTTTCAGAAACATCATGTTCTGTGTGTTGTTGTCCTTGGCTCACATTCTCCTCTGCAGCAAGAGCAGCTTGACTTTCTGATTCATCCTTTGGATATTCAGTTGATTCCGGCTCTCCGCTTTCACGACCATTTTCAGGAGTATTTCCTTGTTCTTCTGTATCAAGTTCCTCTTGGTACGCACCTTCTGAGGCAGAACCAGCCTTGTATTTCTCGTGAGGACATTCACCTGGTTGCCCTGCTCCTGACTCTGAATTTTCCCCCTTGTGCCCATTTTGGTAATCTTGTTCGCTCTCTCCCAACTCGTGCCACTGGTCTTGTTCCGACATGCTTCACAAACGATATCAATTCGACGCAAAACTCACTTCTATAGGAAAAAAAAAAATAAAAAAGGAAGGAAAAAAGATTATTTAAAAAAAAAACAGTAGAAAACAAAAAATACCAATACTCCAGAGAATTCTGTATAAATAATAAAAATACATAAATAAATAAATAAATAAATAAATATATATATATATATATATATATATATATATATATTGAGAAAAAAAGAATTGCATGAACGAAAATAATAAAGAAGACATCGACATTAATGTAATGGAGAACAAAAAGAAATCGCCCCAAGTAACACAAGATGAAGATACAAAAAAAGAAACAAGTCATTTTTTTTTTTTTTTACGAACAATCTCAAGAAGAAACACCACCTCAGCAGCCAGTGAAACATACCAAAAAAAAAAAAAAAAAAGAAACCACCACTGTGATTTCAAGTTCATTGGACAATTTATTTTTAAAAGAAAAAACAACAACCAATTAAATGAGGATTTTATATTTACACCATTCCCAACACAATCTTATTGTAGAGAGATATTCTTTTTCATTTTGTGTATTTTTTTTTATCTTAATTATAAAATAAAAACAAGAACAAACTTAATACAGAAAGAAAAACAGAAAAAACATGTCCACGATTATGATTTAATCTCAACAACATCAGATCCATTTCAAAAAAAAGTGTATTCCAAATAATATCCCAAACAATCAGAAATATTTATATTCATGAATACTTCAGACAAAACCTTTCTTCAGCTTTTTTTATTATTTTTTCTACAAAAAATATGATTTTCTCACATGAGGGTCACTTTTAACTAAATACAAAAAAAAGGGAAAAATAACAAAAAGAATACGACAAAAATTGACCGCTGTTGTCTTTGTTGTTTCGTTTAGATTTCAAACCCAATAGTATTTTATAATTCCATCACTCTTTTTTCTTTATTTTAAGGGGTTATTGTAACCTCTCATTATTATTTTTATTGCCATATACAGAAGAAATTCCCCCTCCCCACCCCTCCAAAAAAAAAAAAAAACTGTATCATTCCATTCTTAATCTTTAGAAACATCTC